AAATATACGATTACTCTCAAGAAAGACAATTTATTTTTTTCTTCTTTATTAGATTCAACCGATGTTAATTATTATTTGTAATTGATATATCAAAAACATAATTTGAAATGATGATAAAATTATGTATCCTAATTACGTATCACAGTCCACTTCTGTACATACATACATACATGATCGATTTTCGATTTTAAACATAATTTATTTCATTGCCATTATTGATAGATAAAACACGCAGCTTTAGGTTCAACATTAACAAAGGTTAATCAATGAATGGTTATCTATACAATTAATTGAAAAAAATTGTGGTTGCCTCAAAAATGGTCAAATCTTCACTCTTGTTAAAAAGTGTGTCCACTGTCTTTTATTGAAGTTATTTATCATTATTAATGTATAGAGCAGTCTATGTCACCACTGATCATCTGTTACAATAAGGATTTGAATCATGCTGCATAAAGAACAGTGCCATAGTGAAAATTTAACAGGATTTAGTACAAAAGGAAGGCTTTAAATACATACATTCCCATTCCATTAGGAGCTCTCTGTATGTCAAACCAAGTCCCTTAGATATAAAGCAACGCCGCTTACAGTACACAATGCTATTATAGTGCATTGTCAACAAGATTTATACGTCACGTTCGCCGTCTCGTGAAAGCACGGAACAGGAGACGTGATGTGACGTCATAACACATAAATCTAACCCTTCCTGCATCAAACTGTGACATTCCTAATTTTGCAACTCGCTATCCAGAGTCCAGGAAACATATTAGAGTTTAAACTGTAATAGTATCCGTGTAAGGTTGGATTTCGTATATAAAGTATGTAGTTGACTATATAATGTAAGCATTGTCATATATTCTAGTGACGCATGCAAGTTACTCGAACGAAGTGTGGATAAGCACGAGTATCAACAATTTGTTGTTTCTAATTGTAGCACTATAAATGTGGATTTACTCTAGAACACTTTGCATTCGATGCGTAACCTGTAGATAAAAAAACAACAAGATAGTATTATCTTTTACAGTTGTTTATTGTTTTATTTAGTATGTCTTCATTGTACACACATTAAAGAAAACAAAAAAATGTGTAACAAATATGTAGAGTTAATAATCGGCGTCTTATCGCTCACGGGCGGCGGTCTCTTACAGACAACCTGTATACGTATATAATTTATTGTACAATTTAGGGTAGTATTATATTAGTAAATATCCATGTGATGACGGATTAAAAATACGGAGTATGACCATCCCTATTCATCCCGTGGGTCTCGTAAGAGCCGACTAAGGGAACAAACGCAGGACAACAGCACTGCAAAGGGAAGGAAAACTTGACACATACCCTATACCAACACGTCTGGCCAGTGTGGTATAGTAGGCTAAAACCTGCTTTCTAAGGAGAGGCCCATGTCCAGCAGCGGACTATTATGCCTAGTCTACATGCGTGCCGAGGCTTGGCAAACGTCCACAAGCTCCAAGTCTTTACAAATGCTTGGATGCCATTTACATGTTTGCGAGTGTGCTATTATGTTGAACAATAGCAAACGCTATGTTTGAGACGCGGACATATTTTTATATTTTTATCTCCTTTCTAAGGAGAGGCCTATGATTGATTGATTGATTGATTAACATGTTTATTTTATATTATTATAGATGGGTAGCCATCCTTCGTCACATATGGGTCAAACTCGACCGGAGTTATACTACTACCACATAGAACACCGGTGTTAAACAGTTCTTTCCTTACTTTTCACCGAGTGAGTGAGTGAGGCTCCTCTTGATTCACGACGGCAACGGCACGACTCTTGAGTCGCAGGTGTCTATGGTCTGCGGTAGTCACTTATCATCAGTTGACCCGTCTGCTCGTTTACCCCCCTATACTATAAGATACCCACTTTTTCTAACACCGTCGGTAATGTATGCTCTTAAAAGAGTGTACTTTCTAAACAGAAGAACAATAAATTTATCGACTACTGGCACTATATCCGGGTTTCTTTATAAAACAGGTTCGTCGATTTAAAACATCTTTAAACTTTCATCGAGTCTTTTCAATATGATTCAACACACTTTAGATTACCATCATGATTCTATTCGATAATAGCATTACTAACACCAAAACTTGTGTCGCTGAAACCAGAACAATAGGTCATTTAGTCCGTAAACAACCACTTTTTTTTGTCTGAATTCTAAGAAATGGAACATATATTTATACTACTACGAAATGAATCGGGCTTACTCAATTACAAAATGTTCTCAACAATACGTTTAAGATCTATGTTTACGCGGGTCCGGGTAATATATCGTGTTTTACGTAAGACAGACGCCAAGCATTATGATGATGATGTTCATATGGTGGCGCCAGACATTCGGCGAAATCTAACGACTAGGAAGAGTCGTGAATGAGGCATCATTTGTTTACAGTTTAGTAAAAAGGTGTATGTGTCGTTAGGAAGCATTACTAATTGTGTGCCGGCTCCGCTCTACGTTGTCTATGATTAATTTTGTTCAAGCTCAACTCCGAAACTCAACAGCTATAAGGAATTCCTAAACTTATAATTTAAATATTATTTAAATATATATTAAAAATGATATGACTATGCTAATAAAAATAAAATCTGTACATATGATTGTTTGTACATATACTGTACATGTATCTATACATGAAAAAAAAAACTAAGCGTCTTAACGTAGAGATTGTAAACGCAACGAGTACTTTTTGTAATATAGATATTCCATGTCATCCTAAAACAAATAATTGTGTACATACGCAATATTTAATTGTGTACAATTACATTTTACGCTACTTACAAATTATAAAAAAAAAGTGTAAATGTATTTATATCAGTTGTCTGTCTAGTACCCGTAGTACAAGCTCTGCTTAGTTTGGGACTAGATGGTCGTTGCCTGAATATGGTAGAATGTTATTATTATAGTACTAGTATTTATTAGTTAACTCCCAAAGATTACAACATGAAAACAATACCAATATAACACCGTAAATACAGATCGTTTTGTATAATAATTTTACTCTTTTGCTAATTAAATAAATATTTTTTATATCAAACTATAATAAATAGACAGCAGCAAAACATTTCATGGAAGCAAAAGATTTCTTGAAATGTAGGTGTATTATGAGCGGCCTTTATGCTAAAAGCAATTTCTTACAAGCAACCCTTGGGTTTAAAAAAAGGTCAAGAAAATGATGAGATCCAAGGTAGGCGCGAAAAGTGCTGTTATTAGAGATATTTTCGCTTTTCTATTTAAGACCCAGTATTTGACAGTTTCAATAAAAAATATAAAACCTTGTTCCTTTAAATCTCAGTGTTTATAAAAACTTTTGTTTAGCAGTAAACGTTCTATTTCTGGAATTATGGTGTACCTATGTATATTATATTGTGTACCTACGAGTGTTTAACGCACGCATGTACTGTAGTATATACTCGTGCAGTAAGTTGTAAATCAACCACGTACGTATTTCTGAAAGGCGACTTGTGTTCCAAGAACTAAATCGATCTTTCATTACGGTATTCACCAGGTAGGTAATTAGTAGTGCGAAACTGTTGGAAGATCAACAATATACGTCTTTGCAAAACTAGTAAATATTGATATGTTTATGTTATAATAGTAAACAGTGGTGAAAACCGAAGTAACATGTTTGCAAAGATTTAAACATTTACGTTTAATTATATATTCAGTGTTCGGTTAACGGTAATTAGGGCTTTATTAACCGTTATCTTCTTAGATCTTTGCTCTTACTCCCCGCTTTTTATATTCTATGTATGCACGAGTTTAATTCTGTCTCTAAAATTACATCCGCAATTTCAATCAAATATTTTGTTAAAAACTGACTGAATAATTTGTCACAGTGGTCTCGATTAAAATAATTTGCCTCAAATTTAATTGAAAATGACAGAAGACTTTCCGAAACCAAGACTCGCAACCAAGTAGTAGTTCACGAGGGTATATTCGTATAACGTTCTGAATCTGATACGCGATAACAATCCAGGGTCATATCTTATAGGTCAGTTTGTTGCCGAGCCTACGATTATTAATTAATTATTCAATTTCTGTAGGGTACACAAATAAATTAAGGTATCCAATTAAAAGTGAAGACAGTAAAGCTGTGTCTAACACCCATGCACATTATGTATTCAGTCATTTACAAACTTTACTTAGTTCTCAAACGCATACAATAATTGCTTTGTTTTGCCTTAGACTGGACCGAGATTCATTCTACATCGAATTTGTTTGCTCCTGATCTTTTATAATCTATCAGTCTAGTAGAAAAATACAATTTACATTGAGATGTTTAAGCAGTAGACTACTTAAAAAAAAGATATTCCATTATACTTTTTTGTCTACCTTACTATTTTTCATGTGTGGTAGTTTCATCTAGAAGACTTGCCACGTTATTTCGCTTCCACAGTCAGAAACCGCTAAGCACGACTAAAAGTGCATTAGTAATAGACTATTAATAAATCTGTAGTATTAATCACTCAATAATTCTTTTGATATAGTGATTAAAACACTCATCAAAACCCATTAGTTATATGTAATACTTATTTATAATACGTATCATTTTAGAAATCAGATATGACTAACCAGCGAACAAGTTAACCTGTCACCTTACAGTGATACATAGAGTGATGACAATCCCTGGACTGATGCCAGTGACGGCGGGAGTTTCGTGGAATACCCCGGTAATAGGTTCACTACCCATTTCATACTGTCAGTGCTAATTTTCTAGGGAATACAACAAAAAAAGTATTTATATGGGTCATTGACGTCAACAAGCTTCTATTTCGTAATATTATTTATAAATCAATCATTATTTATTTTAATACTAAGAGAATATAGCGGTAATTTTTTACATCAGTAAAATGCCAGTCAATCATAGTTTTTGTACTATACATACTTCAAATGGATTTACTGAATGTCAGATTTCTAAGAAAGTCGAAAAATATAGTCACATACATAGTTATAATTTTTTATTTACTAAACGTGAGCATGCCAAAGAAAAGCTTGCTTTGGAACAATTCAGACAAAGAAGACGTTAAATTGGTAATACCTCGCTTGTTAAATTATTTATCTTGGGGTCAGTCCTAGGTTACATGTATGTGAGAGGCACAATTTATTGGTTCTGACCGCCTTTTGGTTGAAACAGTATAAAAATAGGTTTTTTTCTTCTTTTTGATACAAGCAGCCTATAACCAAATTAACGGCCAGCCGCCTTGGCCCAGTTCCCTTCTTAAAACGACCCACTTAGTTTAACAATTTTTACTTTAAAAATATTTAAAATGTAGGTACGTATTTGTACTTTAGTGTAATGGAACTGTTACGATCAATTCTGCTAGTATTATATTTCAACTTTCGAATAAAGTTGCCATTAAATCATTTGGAGTGAGACAGGTATTGGCACCGAAAAAGCATCATAATAGTGCACGTGTCTCTGGGCTCAGGTAATAGTTTTCCATTAACCTGTCCTTAGGGTTGTTCACTACCTAAGTTTACCATTTCCTTGCTCGCTGCTGCTTTAATATTTCCCATACTTCTGTATCTTTAATAATGAACGACAACTGATCGTATAATAAGCAAACTATAAACAAAGATTCCTTGTACAACGGATGATAAACTGACAAACATCTCGATTCATACATATCGACTTCAACGTAAGATAACCAATCTATATCCAACTTCGCCTTGAATTCAATTCCAATAACCCTTTTTACGACGTCTTAGATACGCAATTAGTAGACAATGGGTCATTGAGAGGCGTCGATTGGAATCGCGCGTGCGTCAAACGATATCGCATAGCATGCGCACGCGCTGCCCGCATTCACTTCGCCAGACATTGAAGCGTTTTTATTGATCTATTGAACCAATAGGAATTCTATACGACATGAATTCATACATAAACGTGTAAATAGAAGTGTACTACTCTGTAACTTTTCTTTATTTTCTTTTCTAATTGAAACCAGTACTGCTTCCACGTTATTAAAGTTACCTTTTTAAACACATTTCATATTGGTTACAATAGTAGTTGAATCCAATTTGTGCTTAAACATATAGATTTTTCTTCTTATTAATTATAGACGGCATTACCATTTACCGCTAGTGTCTAAAACACTTATACTTCTATCCATATACTCTTGAGCTATCGAGAATAGGGCCACTTTACTTAAAACCAAAAAAAGAAATCATAAACATTACATACAACAAAACAACGTTAATTCAGAATAATAACGGTCTTCTGCAGTAAATTCTTTCTAAATTGACTTTGTTGAATTGAAGTATTCCCCTTCGTTAGCCCTCATCAAGAGAACACTTGTACATATCAAGTTGCAGTCAAACTACCATAGAACTATGTGTATATTCCCTAAAACGTCAAAATCCATTGAAAACACAACCCGGAAGAACATTCTCAATACAACAAGAAAAAATGAAACATATTGTATCGTTAATCATGTAAACTTAACATTACAATGAAAAAATAATCAGACGTGGTTCTCTTTAGGCGGCTCATTAATGAATCAAATGTTTATATTTTTCATTGCTCGTTTTATTTTATACTACCAACGTTTTACTCATTGTATTTCCCATGAACGTTTTTGTTTTAATTATAGATTATTCTAAAATATATTTAAGTTTCCTAATTTACTGTTTGTCTTGTGTGGTAACTATAAGTAAAGTTCCAATAGTCTATTTGTTCGTATCAATAGTACAGAGCGGATGTGTATCCGGCCATATGCCTGGCCCGATGGACGGCTTTTAGCTCTAAGTATCGTGTTGTGTTAATGGTATGCCACTTGAGAAGCTAAATGTCAAACTATACACTTCACTTGAGAAGTGAAGTACCCTAACAATTACAGGATACGATCGTTTTAAAATATTAGTTGGTAAAAAACCATAGCTGCTATTGATAATTAGCTAAAAATGGTTTCATGATGATTAAGGTTGCTGCTCAAAGTTCCTTGAATTTGAAATTCTAATTAAAGTTTAGTCTAAAATTTTACGGGGGGAAAGAGTCCAAATTACTGGTAAAAAAAGGACACCTACATCAGTCACTTTTGTTGATCACGCTATTCACCAATATCTTGTTCTTTGTTGCTGTGATAGACTATACTAATTTATAAACTTTCGCATACAATGATATGCATAATCTGATCGCATGAATTCCCAAACGCAGGAGAATTATAATTATGTGCACTGATAAAGAATCAAATAGCACTTAATTATATGTTTCAAAAATCTTTCTTCTAAACACTTTGTTCTGTACACTTTACTGACCGGTGTTTGAAAAATTACTGCTATCAATCAACAGGATTCTTGTTTTCATTTCTCTTTTGGCTCATCAACAATACCTCACTAAGAATATTGCCCTTTGACTCGATTCTAGTTTAATGTTATATTTTTTTCTAGTGCTTAATTTCTTTACATCTTTCTTTACAGGTCATAGACTTCGGTAGCTCGTGTTACGAGCAACAACGCGTGTATACGTACATACAGTCCAGGTTCTACCGTGCGCCTGAGGTTATGATGGGTGCGAGATACGGCATGCCTATTGACATGTGGTCCTTGGGCTGCATACTGGCGGAGCTACTAACAGGTAATCTTTCTATATCTAAATTTCTATCAACACACCAACTTTCTTATATTGGTTAGCAGGAGCCTCAAACTTCGTAAGGAACCATTGATATGGGTCTGCTGACCTACTTAAATGATCATTTGAATATCATATTTTAATATCCTTGCTATTCCTTTGCAGTAATACTTTTTTTGTATTCCAGTTTTAAAAACTAATATCTTACGTAAGTCTCTCTCAAATATCTCTATACAAGTTTTAGAAGACTAAGGAACTGTTAGTAAAATTGTGTTTTATGGTCTTTATAGTGTCGTAATATTTTTATGAAATTATCTCAATCTAAATAAAACAAGCACTGTATGTGTACTAAATATACTCTGATACAACCAACCTTAAGAAAACCTACAAAAATAATTAAATATTAGATAATTCTGGTATATTTGTTTTGGTATTACGTCTTGATGGTACCTAAAGTAACACTTTCTATCTGTAATGATAAGAAATGCATATTCATAAGCTCAAATAAATTTTACGCAGCTTTACTTTTTCTTCATTACACATTGCGTTTCGTAATATTCAGATCTCTTTTTAGATAAAAATCTTGTTCAGTATAATTATAAACATGTTAAAAACACTATTATTTATTTTTTAAACAACTTTACAGTGGCTGTTTTATACCCGAACATAAATATATTGATTTACCTACTGTTACTGTGTGTTTTAATACTTATTACACAGAGAATCACATAGATCAATGCAAATAATTATACATATTTACCTACATATATTTGAACTGAGCAAGACGTGCTACTTCTGACGTTTTTGCATTCAATAAATGCAGCAGTACTGCTACGAGTACTTCTTCAGTAGTGATTAGTAATAACTTTCGGAAGTCGAATGTAATATTACAGAGTTGCAGAGAATGTTGCCGCGATATTACAGAGCTACTAATAAATCCCCAAGAGGACATTTACTGGGACTCTTGATAATATCAATAACTAAATTATGGTAGTTTAAAAACGGGTTTAAGGCAAACTGCAGTCAAAGCTCCCATATCTGACTAAGCAGATATTCCATTTAATAACTTACTTGCTAACGACACCCCATAAAGGAATCTACACCCCTCTACTTTACATCGACGATTTCATTCGTTAATCTCCTTGTCTCGGTGCAACCCTAATCCGCTGAGGCGTTCAAAACAGCAGACCCAAAAAAACCACGAATTTCCCTCCATATTTTAGTCTGTAAGACGAAGGAAATAGTCACATGAGTAAGGGAACTTTTTTCTACTTAATACATAACTTGCGCATTACAGATGGACAAGATTGAGTTATATAAATGTACCCTGCCCATGTTAAATAGCAAATCTATTATTAATTTTAAATAAAAACACTTATTGGTTCCTTAACCAATTGTAAATTAAATCCTTTTAAGTATGTTATTTACTATACCATTTGCTAAATAATTATTTGCCAAATACTACTTATGTATATTTGTTCCTAATATTAATACTATCTAGTATTCTTTTACTTCATAATACTTCTACATCTCAGAGATAAGGTACAAGAGAAAAGGATAAAGAAAAACCTTACTACTCGTTTTAATACAATCATGACACAACAGGGTTTTCATTGATTGATTGACTTTTAAAATGCCCGATTACAGTACCTAACAGTAAATCATAATGCAGTAGAAAAAAATTAACTTCGTTATATACTTGCAATCCTTCTGATAAAGAATCGGATTTGTGAATGATTTTTAATTTTAAAATAGTTGATGACCGCTTATAGGTAATCTAAAATCTTCATAGTGTGTGTTCACTTCTGCGCTATATTGAGCTTACTCACGATCAAGTAACGAGTATCGATTTTACGCTTATTCAACGATATTATCAGAACATATTATCTAATCCTTTATAGCTGCCATTACTTACCATACTTTTACATTATTATTGTTATAATATAATATCCATTTAACTGTTACAGGGTTTCCGTTACTTCCCGGGGAAGATGAGGCGGACCAGATGGCTTGTATCATCGAGCTGTTGGGTATGCCGCCGCAGAAGCTTGTCGAGCAGGGCAAGCGGTCCAAGAATTTCATCAGCAGTAAGGGTAACCCTCGATACTGCACAGCCACAACTTTAGCCGATGGTACTACGGTTCTAACAGGAGGTAAGACCCTTTCAGTAACCCATAACTATGTTTGAGTAAATTATGACTTTAAATATTGAAGTGGAACTGACTGTTTAAGCGGTCATCTCGCCGCTTCCTACTGCGTCAAGTGTTGTGGGTCCGGTGTTGTTGTGTTGTGTGTAGAACAACAGTCCCGTCACCTTATCTTAGGACATACCATTGAACCTCTGCCTCTAAAATAGGTTTGTGTAAAATATTCTTGTCTGTTTAGCTAGCTTCATAATCCATTATTTAAAACTTTTACCATTCTAGAAAAAACAGTTTTTTTTTTCCATTGAAAAAGAAGAAGAAGTAAGAAACTTAACAAGTGAACGGCAATCTGTCAACTCATCATTTTTAAATATTTTCTTTCAAATGAATCCTGACAATTACAAACACAACCAAAACAGAGTTACTTAAATACGTAGAGGAAATTGTTCTGTAGTTAATGCCCTTGTATCCATTCAGTAATTGATTTTATTTAAACAGATAAACTCCTCTATATAAAGAAAGATTTGAAAACCTTTTGTCGGTTTATAAATTATTTACCTATTGTGTATACGTAGGCTGGACGCTACATTTTTACATCATATTCAAAAATATATGTACTATCATCACAGTTTGCTCAACATTCCTGGTCGCCAACGTAGTACTTTCTTTACCACGTAGCTCGTTAAAATATTAAACATTTGAATCATCCGCCTTACTAAAATATTTTGATAATGTGCAAACCTGTTGTCGTCACCACTGTGACCTATCCGACTGACTCACACACATCTGACTGTTAGTTCCATTTGTCAGAATGCGTAATATCTGTCTGCCATGTGTCTGAGTTTTGACCCCTCTTTTAAAAACATGTATAATTTAATCATTAAATTATATTGTTTTCATTCCTTTCACTTTCTAAGAAAAACATTTTACTAGTAGTATTAATAATGTTTTCAAAATAAGCCATTCGTACATTGATGTGTGTTTGTAATGTCGTAATAGCAGCTTTTTATTAAAGATGGCGAAGCGAAAAATGGCGAATGAGGTTTTATTTAACGGAGTTTCGCACAATATTTTTCTTTAAAAAAAATGGAAGGTGCCAAAGTTACTTTTTATAACATAATGTATTTGCCAGTAAATGTCAGGTAGAAATCGGTTGAGCCGTAACAAACAGACACAAAAATTCCATTACTCCGAAAAGGTTACTATCGTGAAAAAAGTCAATAGCTCTAAATTCAAAGTTATTACGTTGACAAACAAATACTTTAATTTTATTTATTTTCTGTAATGTGGTAAAAGGTTTAAAAGACCTTAAATATACTTGTCTTTTTAATCCAATGTGATGTACAAATCAGTAGGTATGCATCAGTGATGTTCTTTTATATCACAAAACTCCATGGGGACAGAATATTTTTTTTATTGAACAGGCTTTCTAACTTCCATAGTAAAGTTGTTTGACGACGTATGAACATCTATGGGCGAGGTCAAACCGGTTGCCAGATGTTTTTTATTTGGTGGAAAATCTTTGACTAGATAAAAGCGAGCCTACATGCAAAGCAAGTCTCTCACGGCATAGAGATTAGAGATTTTCTTTTTTCTCGGCTACATGAATCTTGAACATTAATATTGGCCGCCAATTTGGGTTTCTTTCACACTTTCCACTGTAAGTATATGTTACCTTGCAAATGAATACGAAAAATAACATTTAAATTATCAACACAGACCAAAGGCAGCAGACTATAGCCATGCATAAATTTTATTTAAACGTCTCGTTCCCTTGGTGTACTGCCAAAAGTGGTTGATATAATCTAATAGTATTTGTCACTACTGCGGTGTTCAATTTTAATATCAACTTTATAGGTCTATAAATTCAATGATGTAATTAGTTTAAGGATAATAAACAAGCAGTTGGCTAAATAGGTTTAACTTGTCAGCGTATCGCAGATTTCGTAAACATTCTAAGGAAAAAGGATGTTCTTTCAGCAAAGACTTTCTACAAAATTACTGGAAACCTAATGTTTAACGGGTCGTGGGTCATCTTTTCATATTGGCTTTTTGTACTTACTTTTTAATTTGAAAGAATCAATTTGTTCTGAAGTATTTACTAGAATATTTATAATTTTTAGGTTTTTTTGGAGGAAGAGGACAGTGTGTGTAGGCATAGATAGTCAGGCAGTCAATGTTACAATTTAGTAGGGACACTTGTGTAGGGTTTGTAGCGCTTGCGCATCGAGTCCATCTAGCTAGACTACTATTTTACTTCTCTGCAATAAATGTTTTTATTAATAACTGGTATTTGTACAGCTTAGATTACAGACAAAAAGAACAGTCTACGAGTAGTAACTGTTGTTGCTGGATACTGAGTTTGATAAAGATATTGAAAGTTTTTAATGTAAAAAAACTGACTAGTTAATCATTAAAAATCACATTTAAGATGAAATTATATGACAATAATTAAAGTGTGTATTTATATCTAGCGAAATCAATAAAAAGAAAATCCTGGCATTTACGTATTTTGTTCAAACATTGTGATTGTTCATCACGCTAATGATATGTATGTTGTATTTTTTCAGGGATGTCCAGAAGAGGCAAGCCTCGAGGTCCACCAGGGTCCAAGAGTTTCGTCACAGCACTGAAAGGGTGCCAGGACAAATTTTTCATCGACTTTATAAGACGGTAATATCATTATGTTGTATATAGTCGTGGCAGGTGCTGTAGGCAGTCTTCAAATTGCTTTGCTTTTGCAGACTGTGATGTTGAATCTCTTTGCTGGGTACTGTTCCCATCCTAATGGTTATAGTTTGATAAATAGCCTGTAACGCTTTGCAACTATTAGTTCTTTCTTTCAGTCAAAGTATGAGATCCTGTCATTAAAATGATTAAACAAACTTTAAAGATTTATACAACTCTAATTTTTAAAATTGTTCTTTAACTGTGCTGAGGTAACATAAGGTTCTAACATAGGAGAATGTATGACAAGATCACTTTGATAGGATACTAAACACGTATACGTAAACACTCAAAGTGGTGTCTCAATTCTGTGCTTTTTGCATGATTTCAAAACATATTTTTATGTGTAGAATTTCAAACGAATGATCTAAATATCTAATATAAATCGTTTACGGTTTAAAACAAATACGGATTTCCTTGCTATGTTTTTGGCGTTTTCTCTTTAACACTTCGCAGAATTACGGTGTCTGTTTAATGTCTTAAGGGGTTAGGACTGCGGTCACAAGGAAAAGTCTGATGAAGCCGATAAATATAGTCATGCGCTAATATAAACGAAAAAATACTTATACTTTAGTATAACGGCATTGCACTTATTTCAGAATTATTGAAGTATGCAATGTATTTTTGAGGCTAAAAAATTATTTTACAAACTAGGTACTTAGTGAAATGGAATCTGCACTGCGCTGTCTTTACCCAGCGTCACCTGTGTGTGAAATACATTTCAACATAAGTTTTTAATCAGAGAATTCGTGCCTCACGAAATCGGTAAATTGATTGTTCTACCATTTTCTAAATCGGGTTTTAGACACTAAGCCAGAATAAGTGTTCATTAGTTCTACGGTTATAAAACAACAAACTACAGTTAGAAATTTGTTGTTACATTGTATATGGGTCCGAATTTTATTGTTACTTCGATGGCAAATGTCCTCTCAATAGCGTGTCAATGGTATGACAGTGGCAATGACAGCTTGGCGTTAACATGAAATAGCAGAATTGAGGCCCTGCCCACTTTATGAACATTAGAACTAGTGTTGTGTATGTTGTGGACGAGAAATCCCTCTCAGACAGTACATATTATGAAAATTAACCATCGACGCGATGCTTTTTGGTATTGTATTACTGCAATCAACAATGATTAGCACTGAAACAGAACACAAACAAAACAGTTAAACCAAGTCTAATATGTATATATTTTTAAATCATTTCGTTGGCGGTCATTATGCGTAATAAAGAAAGCTGTGTGTCGGTTGCAGGTGCTTGGAGTGGGACCCGGAGAAGCGCCTGACGCCTGCGGCGGCGCTGCGACACGCGTGGCTGCGCCGGCGCCTGCCGCGGCCGCCGCACGACGACGAGCCCGCGCCCGCGCCCATGCCGCTGCCGCACTCGCTGCCAGCCAACCACGTTAGTATAGCGCACCACGCCAAGCGCCTCGCGCACCCCAAGTGCACTGATAAATAGGTTTGTTTTGCTTTCCTTCTTTTTGGTTACTCACATTCTCCTGTCCATGTTTGGCTCCGTAGGCGTCCTTTTAGTACACGAATGTTAGAATTAAAAAATAAATATCTGAATAATAATTATACAGAGCAATATAATAAATGCAGACTATTAAATTGTAACGCTCGTATCATAATCATAACTTCAATAAACAGATACATAAACTTTACACACTGCTATTTTCTTTTTCAATACAAAACATATTTCAAGTTAGTACTGGAAAACTCATCGTCTTATCTGGATCGTCCCGCCTCGGATGAACCTAAATTCAATTAAATTTTGAAATATATAACTCATAGATACGCAAACGCTCACAAAACTTTAGTGTCTGTATTCTTATGAGATCTATCTCAGCAATCGCTTATGCTTCCTCGTTCCCTTGTACCATAATACCTTGTTCTGGTACTCTACTCAGCCTACAATACAGTGGTACAAATTCTCCAGAACTAAATTTAGAATAAATTAGATCTACATAATTTATCATTACACTATTCGTTGTAATAAAGTAGTACCTATATAAGATAATTGCAATGATTACAAAACGGATGCGGGGCCAAACTTCACAGGAAAAGGGGTCTAAAGCTTGTGGAAATACGACTTCATTTCTTATTATCATTTAAATTATTGGAACACTTATGTATCTCTAATAATCTCTATGTATTATATGTTCATATAATTATATTGTGTATGAACACTATCGCTTTGTATAGTGCGCATAGATATTATTTCTAAAATTTACATGTATCAGTATCGTGTTGTCTTATTACCACAAATAATTGATTATTATTTTACATTTAAGTTCTTATTTAATTTGCGCGTTAATCGTTTTTTTAGTAGATGTAGTTTCTTTTTATATATTTATATCTTAGCATCAGTAACATTATTACTGATTATTATGCGTTTCATTTGAACTTCTTCTTAAGCTTTCATAGTTATCCTAATACTTGCTTATGGTAACCGCTTGCCTCCAAAAGCCTCATGCGCTTGTTTACTGTCTTTTAAGTGTAAGTAAATTATCTACTATTTATATAATAAAACTAGTAATTTATTTGAAAGTGAGAATCAATTTCAACATATTTGTTACTCGTTAAGTTGTAATAAGGCATGGTATAGGTTGTAGGTATGCCTGTGCTATGGCAACCAGACTAAAAGAAAAAAAGACTAAAAGCTGTTGATGATGATGATGATGGCAACCAGACTGCTGTTAAACATCTTTATATTACTTAAAAGATACATATTATAGATAAATTACACCGGACACAACAAATGATCGTGCTCATCACACGATATTTGCCCTGAATGGAAATCAAACCCACGACCTCTGTCTTAGCAGTCAGGACTACTTACCACTACAGCAACAGATCTGTCATAACGGTATAATACATTACGTTTGTAAGATTATATTTGTCATTATTAAAATGTATTCTAAAAATATTTCCACACATTCTATGACGTATCTCCCTCTAATCGATGACGTATCATATGTCCCTATTCTAAATTTAGACCGCCAACACTGCAGTGAATAAGCATATTGCCCACTCACTTAACTCGTTCCAAAATATGTATCCAGTAATATGATAGTCGGTTAACTATGAGTGTGGTTTACTATTTATAGAAACATTACGTGATAATTCTGTAATGTCTCACTGCCTATAAAGCTGGTGGATATAAACCTTTTCAGATTTGACTTCCCCAAAAATCAGAAATAAATTGCAGTTTAAATATCTTAAATTTGTAATTCAAAACGGTTGCACTCAATTGTCCAAAAAGAAAATAATAATTAAAATATTTTCGTACATTTGACACACAACGCTATCCAGTTTCAAACTGAGCAGCGTTTGTACTCGAAAGCTAGATTGACTGATAGAATAGGTACTTGTATCTTTTTTTTGTAAATATACACATATTATACAGATAAACACCTAAACTCCGAAACAAATATTTGCAGAGTATACAAACTTTTGGACGGGCCTGTTGGGCTAGTGGTTAGTGATCCTGACTGCTAAGCCGGAGGTTGTGGGTTCGATTCCCACCCAGGACAAATATTGTGTGATGAGCACGGTCATTTGTTCTGTATCTGGGTGTAATTTGTCTATAATATGTATGTATTTATAATTTTATAATATGTAGTATTTTTAAGTATGTTTATTAGCAATCTGGTTCCCATAGCACAGGCTCTGCCTAGTTTTGGATCAGACGGCCTTGTGTGGGATGTGTGATGTATTATTATTATTAAATGATTATTACGTGAAGAATATTCTTTGTCTTGAATGAATGAATCATTGAATGTCTTTTCAAACTAATATAATATGGCGCACGTATGCATTTCATTTATGGAATACCTAATGATTATTAACAATTATGTGAAATAGACGATATAAAACTATAGGAATCCAAAATCCAATCTATTTTGACATGTCATGGTACAAAAGTATTTCCAATGACAGTCCAAATAATATTGGTCAGAATAAGACATTAAAATCGTCTTATAATATGTTATAAAGAATTAGTCCTAGTGTAGTTTTACCCGACCTTTAACAGACAAAATAGTTATCATAATAGGGAAAAAATGTTTATTTGTGTCCCTAAATAAATATAGGAAACTTATAAGATAAATATATAGTTAAATAAGTTGAGTAACCAATTATCAATGATTCTACGACGACGTATTTATTTCCTTTTAACCCAAATCAGTAGCAATCTATGTTATAGTAATAACAGTCGCCTTCTTAATTGTTTTAATGCTCAATTAGCATATTTCTAAAGCGGAGTGCTACTAAAACTTATCCGTCACGCGATTACAACTTGTATTAGATGGTTATCTACCCCGCCGTAGTCAGTCAAGCGCTTAACTGGTATTTATGTCAATAACTGATAGTTGACATACTTGTGTAGTTTACTGTGAAGAAATTTGTAAATATTATGTATGTAAAAGTGTAAGTACAATTTTTTGAAAATACATATTTTAAATATCTGTCGTTTTGCTAAGATCATCGGGAAAGTAGATATGTGTTTATTTTGTGTGTTGTATTTTTCGCTTTTTGTACAAGGCCTACACATTATATGTGTAGCCACTGCTGTCAGTGGAAGTACTCGTATCATGGTAGGTACAGGTGATGATAATCTTTATTTTATTTTAAGGAACACAAATAATGTTTTACACAATAATGTCTTGAGAACTAAAATGCGTAATGTTTTGATCTTGTGCATACAAAAATAATATGTGTCCACAGCATCTGCCATGATTATACTTATATAATTTCTATCATTGATAAGTTTTAACACCTTAATTTTAAATTTTAATCAAATTCTTTAAACGCATTTTTACAAAAAATGGTATACATATATATGTATTATGACGATCATGTAATTTATGAGGCAATAATCAATCACAGTCTTTTAGAAGACTTAATACACCTTGCTAAACATTATGGAGTCCAATGTCAAGTTTAAACAATCAGATAGACAGATATCGTAATATTGAATGACAATATCCTATGTATTTGAAAAAATGATTTAATTTTAAATGTCAGATAACTTGGCTGAAGTGAAGTCAGATTGTTTAATAATAAAGTACCTATTATGTGTGCAAGCAAATGTTAGTAACATCTAGCTTCTGAATTTTAAAATATTATGTATTTCTTACTGTAAATTATCGGTCTATCAATGGATAAACCTGCAAATTAGTGCAAAAACCTGCAAACCTGCGAGTATTTGCAGGTTTTTCCACTAATTGCAGATTTTAATAACCATTATTTTATGTAATGTAATAACAATTACAGAAAATAACATTGTCTTATTATTTTTTCAATAACTTTGCGGAGCGAAACTGTGACTGATTGATTGAATTCTTTCTAATAGTAGACGTTGTAATACTCTTAATATTAAACAGAAAATATGTTCATAAATTAAACTTTAATTACATACATTAATCGAGCTTTTGTAATAACTTTTGTGAAAAACAATGACGCATAACAGAAAGGGCTAAGTCGTCATAATTTAGATAATGCCTGTTCTCTCTTCTCCCCTTATAAAAATACATACTTTAAAGTAGAGGCAATCTTTAGGAACTTTCACAACTTGTGGATTTGTATTGCCTTCATCACTAGGTTCTCACGTGTTTTCGTTTATAATTAATCAGTATTTTTAAAAGTAACTACCGGTATATTAATAGTACAACAATATAACATTACATAATAAGTTTATTGTGTCCAATAAGGAGGGAAATTAATAAGGAAGTTCAAATGGTGTTCTATCCCCGGACACAGTGTTGATGTGTGGTCTCCTTTGGTTATTTCCAGACGTCGGGCGGTTGCGTGGGGAGCGGGGCGGGGGCGGGGGCGGGTGGCAGCGGCGGGGCGCGCGGGGGCTCGTTGCGCACGCCACTCGCGCGCACTCCCGTCACCTTCAATGCCTCGCAAGTCGCCAGTGAGTTACTGCCCTCGTTTTTGGTTCTAAACCATGGCGAATTACCATTTGCTTTAAGAAATTAGTGATTTATCTATCAAGCCCCGCCCCGGACCAATCCGGTTCCACGAAGTTATCGATTCGTACGCAAGCTTGGATCCAGATTGGTCAGGGTGCGGATCTTGATCGATGCGTCACTCACCTCATAATTATCTATCTGCACATAAATGAAGATCCTGACGTGATCTGAATCTACGGGTAATATATAGCTATTCTTTTATCGTTGGTGTTTCCTGCCCCTCGGTGATGATTATGCCGTAAACAATTTTATCAAAGTCGCTAGCTTCTGACTTTAACGCTTATTTTTTCAGAAGCAAAATTGCAAGCGGCCCTTTCGGAGGAGAGTGGCGGGTCGTCAGCGGGGGTCGGGGGCGCGGCGGCGGGTGTGGGGGGCGCGGGGAGCCTGGGCGGCGCGCGCTACTGGGCGCAAGCCAAGCTGCCGCACCTGCCCGCGCCCTCCTAGCGCCCGCCCGAGCCGCGCCGTCTCGCCAAGGTACTGCTCCTCTATCACTTCCTTCCTAATGTACTTACCAACAACAAAATTAATCTTGATTCATGGGTCACTAGAACTCTAAACGGTGAGTGTCCAATGCAGTATATAAAATATAGTGCTCCACTTTATGTAAAGGGTAGGGGAGGCCCTTTCCTGGATTTGTCAGATGTTTATCATATGGAAAAGTTATGGCGGAGAGTTCACGTAAAAGTGTGTGTTACAGGTATCTTCGCTGGAGGCGGGGCGGCGCGGGCCGGGCGGCGGTGGCCGCCTGGAGCTGGAGCGGCGCTCGCTGGACCTGGAGCGGGAGCTGCGCCCCGACCGGTCTTCCGACCACTCGCTCGACGAGCGCGACCGCGTTTGACCCCCCACACGCCCCACCTGCCCCCTCGAGCCCTGTTCCTACCGACCCCACTATTGATCTCACTAAACTCTAAGACTAAGTCCGACCGTGTAGTGCAATCGTGACTGTGTGACGTTCCGGTGTGTCGGTGTTAGTGCCTGTAAGTTAACTACGACTCGCGAGCCCGAGCCGGGCGCGGGCCGAGTGCGAGCCGAGCGAGAGCCGGGCACGAGCCGAGCGCCAGCTCGTACCGTTCCTGTGCGGAACGACTCGACCCCCTCGACCCCTCGAGGCTATAGTATAAGCGAACTCGTGTGACTAAAATAATTTAACATTTTTCTACAGAATCAATCGTCATTTTTTATGTTAAAATAATTCGATTTTAAGTTAACTTTTGTGTAATTAGTTAATTTCTCAAGTGATATATTGAAGCTGTACTCGTAACGAAATGGTGACCTTATAATCGGAATTCTTAAAGGATATAAGGGTAGTTAGTTACATGGCCTTTGAACTAGATTAAGGAGCTAAGCTGCGCGAGATTTGTTTGTCGAATTAGCGTAGTGAATGTTGTGATTCATTGATATGATTTTACATGATATGTAAAGCGCTTATGTACTCGTACCGGTAGACATAAATAACTATTGTATCTCGGGCCATACACAAGTGGACAGTTACATCGTTTTGTAGCGAATATTAAGTACATTTTTACAGCATTTTTATTTTACTACATGTATCGAATGTATACGACATATTATTATTTTTTTGTTGTCGAAGATTGTCAAACATATCAATACGTCATCTTCGTCAGTCAGGTCGGGGTGTAGTAATCGCTGTATACTAGTCGAAAATTGATTGTAAACTACAGGCTTACTTCTAAGATTCAAACAATTTTTGATTCAATTAGTAAGTCGTTTAGAGCGATTATTCCGACTTAATATAACGACTATTTAGCCCGAACCGGTTGTGACGTCACATATGTTAGTAACACAGCCAAACTCGTAATATTGTAACAATATTTCTGTTTGTAACATTACAGCGTATTGTAGTTTGCGTGACATTTGTATTGTGATGAAATTTGTAACAGTTGTTATTGTAAAATTTAAACAGTCGTAAAATTGGCACATTTGTAAAACTGCGACTGTTTGTAATGTTGCAATATTCCTTGACATTATATTTTTTTAAATGTAACAAAGCGACACGTGTCGTGTTGCAACATAAATGTATTTGATAGAAAGGACCGAACGCTCCGTATAACTAGTGCAATATGTTTGACATAAAATCGTTTTAATTTTGTCTTCCTGATATTATATTTGTATTTGTAACAATTTACAAAGGGCCTACGACATTTTTATTCGTTTAACATGCATTTTTTTTTCAATTTAGTTTGTAGATTTCTTAGATACATATTATATGTGTATTAGAAATATATTATGGCTTACGAATGAAATGTATTATTTCGATTTTGAGGGATTGTATTCGAAGCAAGCACTTATGTAACGTCGTATATGTATAGCAGAGTTGTATGAGTATGTAATTGCCGGTATTATACAATGTCTTTGATACAAGATATTATTTTTTGATGCCAGCCTGTTTATTTAGTACGGAATGTTCCTCAGAGTTTTATAAAACAAACTTTTATTCGGAAACATTGCAAAAGTCGATATTGTCCGTCTTAAACCTGAAACTGATACGAGTTCTGTACGTGCTTGCTTAACCCGAACGTATTTTATCATTTGACCCTATCAAACTATACTCAATATCGCATTTTTATTTCGATAGTTGTGTTTTAAGTTGACTGCCGTTTTCTAATAATTATGCTCAATAATAGTTTAATATCTTTAGTAGTCTGGATTGTCTTATTTAGGCATTAATAAATTGTGCGATGACTTTAGTTTATCTGACGTGACGATACATCTATTGTTAGAAAGGTTTCTGTACACTAGCATCTTGTTTGATCCAGTGACCGACTGCGGTTGAAGATAGATGAGTGGTACCAAAACGTGATATTGAATGTTAGCTTGTCAAGTTATTGATTTTGTTCGTGTTAGCTTATGTCGCATTGTGTCAACTATCGTAGCATGTATCGCATTGTTTTGTTCTAATCGCAATTTGTGTATCATCACGGTTATCCCATAGCAATTTAAGGTATTTAGTCAATTATTGTATAGCTTTTTTTTAACTATTGAAGCGTGAGGGCTGAGAGTCAGTGCGTTCAGCCTGTCCAGTCTCGTTAGCTGTTCGTTTCGTGTTTCTAACTTTCCCCCCCTCATTGGCGTTGACTCTCTCGCTCTACTTGGCATCGATCAGTATTAATCATTACTTTTCATCCCTCGACTCTGCAACGGAACTGCCAAGTACATATAGTTAGGTATACTTTGCTATAATTCGACTGTAGCAAGAATTCTAGTTACTACAATAATAGCTTTCGTTGGAACGCATTTTCTCTTATACCTAGTTAATTTTTTTTTGTGAAAATATTTTTGTTCTCATTTTATATGTAAAAGCTGGTGTTTCACCTCTTGAAACTCGTAACTACAATGTGAATATAAAATAAATGAGTTATACAAATAAACTGTTGTGTTCATTTGTTGTGCCTTTGCACGTGATCAGCAAAGATAACACGGAAAGGGTCTTTTTCATGTTCGTTGTCTATTCAAATTATTCACGGTTCACGGTTTAAACCCTGTTCGTTTTAGAGAGTAATAATCATCACAACACACATTCCAAACCAAACCCAACAAAAAGGAGGTTTTGGCCTACTATACCATGCCGCCCAGACGGTTTGATATAGGGTTTGTCAAGTTTTCCTTCTCTTTACAGAGTTTGTTCTGCGTAGTTAGTTTCCTTAGTCGGCTCTTACGATACCCACGGTATGAATAGGGGTGGTGACACACCGTATTCTCAATCCATCCCCACACGAATAGTAACCGAGTAATAATAAGTAAGTAAAACAGTTTGACTTTTACTAAAATTATTTATAATAATATTCCGATGATAGGCTTACTCTAACAGGACTCTAATATAACTCGAGATGTTTGGCTTGCCCGACAATAACACTTTTTCACACACTTCTAGCCAAAAAAAGTAAGCGACTATCGCTGCCTATAAACACCTGCAACTTAGGATACACATGTGCATTGTCGCTGTTTAGTATCCTTCCTTCCCCCAGAATTTAGAGGTTGGGTAGGGGAGACTAGTAGGCTTTGAAACACACGAGCCGGTCTAAAAACAAACAAAAATATTGTTTGTGTTATTTATCAGTGCACCGACGCTGTATATTATATTACAACTTAATAATGTTTTCAAAAGATTATGTGGGTTCAGTGCAATCTGTGTCCGCTGTAAAATGACGTATTAGATAACATCTTAGACTATGTACGATGCCGTGAAATCAGCATTGAATACAATTAATTGTGTGATGACGTTACAAGCAGAGTTCGTTAATCGTTGCTGTAGCAAAGTTAGATGTAGATTGTATTAGTACAAAGAAGAACCACACAAATCTACAGATACATTATAATAAAAGCATTAGTCATTGAGTAATCTAAATATTTAAGAAATAGTTGACCCTTTTAACCGACTTAAAATAAGGAACTCCGGAAACTTGCACTCGGCCATCTGAGAGCCTCGTGTGTGTTTATTTCACATCAACTCGCTCTCAACGGCGAGCGCGTTTAGCGTTGCGATTGGTGGAGATTTCGGTGCGGGCCAATCACAACGCCGAACGCCGTCACTGTGACGATCAGGTATAAGTGAAATAAACTTGCACTAGGCCCTCTGTTCCCGCTGTAAGTAGCTCACTGAGGCGATTTAAAAAAAAATGGAATTTTAGTCAAATTCTTAATCAAATTTCGTAAAAAAAAATTTTTTTGTAAAAGATAAATAGAAAACCAAAACCTTGGTTATTTAAATTTTTCACATAACTATTGAGGTTATGTGAAAAAGGTTAAGTTCAAAAGTTGTATTTTTATTACCTACTACTTTGCCATTTAACTTTTTTCCATAGGACTTGTAGTTTTGCCGGAAATCCACTTCCCGATCTCAAATCGCCCGTAAATTATTTTTCCTTTCATTTTTGTTATATTCTCTTCCTCTATATTTAGTCTATTATATTTAAAACCAAGTTAGAAATATTTAAGTAACTAAAAATAAGAATAACAATAACAACACAACAGGTGTTTTAAAATAATAATCATCAACATGATTACATAATACTAAAGTTATTACATGTTCTCCGGACTTCTCCGTAGCTGTAAATGACCAGTTTAATTGGTTTGGATAAAACTTAGGTGTATGCCATAAGAGTATTTTATCAAATATTACCAGTGTTATTAAACTACGGAGACTCTTAACACCGCGATTTAATTTTAGGGAATTGGTACAGCGCCACCTATCGATCAGCATGTTAACTAAACATTACTTCAACATACAGCCCACTGCGGCAGACATACAGAAAAACAAACAACACAAATACAAAATTAGTCTTCGTTATGAAATCAAAGCAATTACCCTTTACAATTACAGGAACAGACTGTACCTATGGACACAACAAAATTATTGTAAATATAAACAAATGGTTCTTAATAACCTATAATTATTAATATTTCTAATCTGCGACAGGCAGAAC